AAAAAAGGGCAGAAGTGGTACACCTATGACTGGTGACGAAATATTGATGAACCAGTTGGGTAAAAATGGAGTGATGCGCAAGAATATGATGTAGCTTAAGAGGTTGTCTCTGTGATGGTTAACCTGCAACAAAATAATTGTACATAGTTATCTCCAAATAACATACAATTATGCATTGGAAAGGTACTAAAACTATGTTTTCCTATCAATAAAAGAATAGACAATAAATTGTTGATGCTAATTGTAATTATTGCCAGCACCATTTGTAAGCAATATAGCAGTACCTATGCAATTAAAAATATTTTTACTCCAGACCAAATCAAAAGTTGTCACAAACTCAACTCGATAGTTGAAATATTAATATTATTACAGAAATAGTTACATGCATATCGATTTTACATGTAGGCTGTGCTCTGGTAAAGGTAAAGTCTGCATATATGAGCCAGGCGGCCTATCAAGCTGGAGGGTATCACGATTTCTGTAGCATGAAGGGACCAGGAGTATTTCTACTTCTACTCCCGCCTGGATGGGATACTAGTCCATCGCAGGGTTTTCCCCAGCATTAAATTTGCTGGTACCCATTTATACACCTGGGTGGAGAGAGGCACTGTGAAAGTAAAGTGCTTGCCCAATAACACAACACAATTTCCCCAGCCACGGCTCAACCCAGACTGCTTGATCTGGAAATGAGCGCACTAGTTAACCATGAGGCCACTGCGCCTCCATGGGCTGTGTTCTGGCATTGCCCAATTTCTCAATCATGGACCAAATGTTCTTTTTGTGCAACAAGATTCACCTATACTTGTTTGCTTGTTGTTAGAATACACAATATTGGAAAACTTGGATTTCATAGATAGAACCCTGTGGGATTTCATTATTTCATTCATCCTAAGAAGGAGGGCAATAAAGTCCATCTGGGTAAGATACTGACTTATATATTGATAAGCCTATAAAAAAAATGCCAGTAGAGCTGCTGAGACAAGACTAGCAAATTTGCATCCACTCACTAGCAGTCAGTTACGTCATGCCTCGGCCATAAATCAATGTTTTCTTATAGTGAAGTCCAAGCCTTATATCCAGTGTGAATTGCGGGAGAATACTGTGCAATGTTATCATCATTAAATGTACCTGTTCACACCACTGAGCAACTCTGTCAGGCAAGTAATATTGTACAAGACGTCTACCAACCAAGTAGAACAACAAATAACAGAATGAAGCGCCTATACTGGAACACTGTGAAACCGAGAAACAAGTCAACATGTTTAAGCCCCAGGTTAGCAGAGTGACAAAATGTTACAGAAAGGACAAACAATGCTTTTTGTACTTTCCACATCATAATAATTGAACATGTGGTTCTTGAAAANTTCTTATAGTGAAGTCCAAGCCTTATATCCAGTGTGAATTGCGGGAGAATACTGTGCAATGTTATCATCATTAAATGTACCTGTTCACACCACTGAGCAACTCTGTCAGGCAAGTAATATTGTACAAGACGTCTACCAACCAAGTAGAACAACAAATAACAGAATGAAGCGCCTATACTGGAACACTGTGAAACCGAGAAACAAGTCAACATGTTTAAGCCCCAGGTTAGCAGAGTGACAAAATGTTACAGAAAGGACAAACAATGCTTTTTGTACTTTCCACATCATAATAATTGAACATGTGGTTCTTGAAAATGCCCATGCCCACCCTATATACATGAAAGAAGGTAATTAGAAATTCAAAGGAAGGAGGGAGAGGGCAGAAAATGTCGGGTGGGGTGGAGTGTTCGAAGCAAAAGACCTTTCACAAAAGTGGGTTACGGGTATTTTCTGGAGCAATATACTGATAACCCAGTAAATGATAATTAAAAATAGATTTTCAGGCACAAAATTCATTACAGGTACAGCCAAGAAATTTCACCCAGCACAGCATACAGTACGTGTTTGAACAACAGTTTACAATAACTTAAAAGGTAATCTTACTTCATGTGAAAACAACTCAGCAACTTTAATTTATTCCTTATGCCATTACTATTAAATTAGTCATAAAAAGGCTCCAATTATTCACAATACACTCACCAGACATACAAGAAATAGTGCTAATGGAAATGGAAATAAGAATCCAGATAAAATGCTTAGAAATATTGACCCAGGAATGGCAAATGTCTGCAAGCTATACATTGTATTAAGGAAAAAAAAATCTCACCACAGGAACATATACTGAACATTACAGAATTGACATAATGTAAAATTAATCCCAGATTTAACTATCACCAATATCTTATTGTTGACTGATACTAAAAGATGAGATAATTTGTAACTTGCTTTGAATATTTGAGCTCAGAAATGTAATGTCAGTGAGTTTATTAAATCCAAACAAACATTTCAAGTAAAATGATTACTAAACCTTTCTTTGTGTATTTCAAAACCAGGCTCTTATTAGTTCTCTTAATTATTATTTATTATAATAGATCTACATGTGTAGACAAGCAGCACCAAAAGGATACAAAATATAAATAATGACAAATCCTAGAAGAACTTGAGTGAAATATTCATCATTGTAATTAGACAATGCCATTCCTAAGCCTTTAGCATCTTCCATGTCTCTGGGAAGTTTGATCCTGGCCTTGTCTTCTCTATAAAGGATAAACAAATGTACATTATGATCACAAAAACAGCGAAAAAAGAAAATGGATCTTTGTCATTCCTGGAGGCAATGACTGCACTAATCAAGACAGAACTACACTTGATGAGAGCATGTCTGATTAAAAGTCATTTTCAATAAAAAATGAGACAAATATTTATTATGCAAATAAAACCTCATGTAGATTCAATCTCAAAGACACCAGTTCATGTCAATTCTTCTCTGCTACTGTATTTCTGAAAAGGTGGGTTGATATGTGTGCTTAGATTTGTGTGAGAATTTAAGGTGAAAATGCTATTTTTGAATTATTTAGACATGCAATACTTCATAGAAATTCTGCAAACTTGTGAGACAACATAATAAGAACATTTTAACGATCATTAATTGCAATTCTTTCAAACTTTTCTCCTGAACAAATTATATTCAGAAAAGTGTCTAGAAGCCCCCTTTATTCGCTCACAAAATTTCATATTCGGTCTAGCAATTCTGAGCAAAAATTATTTGATTTGGATAACATAGTTGGATGTCCATTTTTAGGCCAATTTTTCAAAACAGCAGAGTTTTCCTTTGTGTAGGAGAAAGTAAAAATACTGGATGAGAATAACTATTTATCAGATCTTTTGATTGTGACTCACGGTCTTAGCTGGGGAAAACTCCAATAAACAAAAGCCATTGCCACAAGAGAGCCTAAAAATATTAGTCCCAGGAAGATAAAAGGTCCTGTGTTGCTTTCCACCTTTTGCGATGTTTCCCTTGAATCTGAAAAAAAGAAAGAAAGAAAGAGTCACAGCATGGTGAACAAGTTTAAGTTTAAAGATGTTTTGAGAAGCGTACAAAAAAATGCCAAAAGCTTACCACCCATGTGTACAAATGGGTACCAGCGAATTTAATACTGGAGGGTAACCCTCCGAAGGACTAGCATCCAATCCAGGGGGGAGTAGAAATATATTTTTTAATTTATTCCTAGTTGCTTCATGCTACAGTTACCAGCCTGATGGGCACCTTGGCTTGTACGCAGACTTTACCAAGTTTACCACTGTTTGATCAAAGCTTAGTGTGCTTTGGTAGGACAGAGGAAAATTTGAATTCATGAGCACATGTATTATTTTGTAGTTTCTCCTTCCTTCATGTGAAACACTGTGAACTTTGACAAACTTGAATAGCAAATTACAGTTAAACCCCACTATTTCAAACTCTCATGGGAAATGTAATATGTTTCAATAAAGTGGGGTTTCAAAATAGCGGATAATAAATGATTGAAGGATAAATCCAAGGGATCAAACTAACAGGGAATCTGAAATAACCGAGTTCAAATTAGAAGGGTCTAACTGTACCAAAATGCATAATACCATGCATTGTTGTGTACTCTTAGACAACCTTTCTCAAACACAGCCATAAACGTAATGACTGTACCTTTCACATCTGTCATTTATTTATAATAATTTATATAATTATTATTGAAAGAGGTGAAATTATTACATCAGCATCTAACAATTCTTGAAAAATGAAACAAATGAAATGGATCAAAATCTACCAATCACAACCCACAAACATGACCTTTTAAGCTCTTGAAGAGAACATCTGTTACTTGAGAGGTCTGCCAAGATGATTGACAGGTCCAGAAACACAACCAGAGTATGTAATTTTGCCAATCCAGTACAGTAGAACCAGTCTTAAATATGAACCAAAGGGGCAGACCCAAGTGCCCGTGTTATGGAGGTGTCCGTAATCTAGAGGACTTGGGCTTATATAAATTCTGGTCTCTCTGAGACCAAGTGAACTGTCCGCAATACAGAGGTCTGACCTATACTACAGAGGTGGCCGTAAGGGGAGGTTTGACTGTATATTACCCTAAGTGTTGGACCAGATCCAGTTTCCAAAGCTCCATTTCAGTCCCGTAAAATTGTGTAATAAATCTCTTATTACCCGTGATTGTTGTATTGGGAAAATACCGGCTCTCAGTCTATTCTCTACAGACATAAGCATGCTCCATGCATTTTGCTAAATTATATTACATGATATAAGTACAAATTATATACCTTAGAAATAAATGCTATATGCAGGACTAAATTTTCTTTATACCTAAATTACAAAATCAACAAAGTGCCAAGCAAACAGGTGGCAAGAAAGGCAAAAACAATTTTCAAGTGAGCCTCTTGATGTAGGAAAACTTACGCTTAAAATTAATGTTCTGACTATCACTAGCAAAAGGAAAATTTAAGTTTAATTAGCTGTATATGCGAAGAAAATTGCAGGGTTTTTTTTTACTACAAAGGTTAAGCTTACTATTAGCAGCGAGAACTAAATAAAACTGATGAATCTGCAGTGCTATCCACTCGACGATTTCAAATGAACTTTGCTATGAAACACAATTTATTGCAATAAGCAAAAATGGTCTTCACATGGTTAATCGATTTGCTCATATTTTTGACAACACATCGAATATTCCCCATCAGGACCTGTGATTATGGCCAAAAAGCCTCTAAAGACAACAAGCGAAAAAACATTGAACTTGAACTCGGGTACGAAACTTATGACTTACTTTTGAATGATGGTTCGGCGTGTGTCTTAGATGCCATATTGTTGACGTGGTTTGGATAGGTTTGCGGCAAAGGTTCTCGTCCTTTGATTTTCAGCAGTTCGTTGGGAAGGTCTTTAATTGTCATCCTACCAGAATATTGCAAACGTTTGCACAAAACACAATAATTAGGGCAAAAGTCCAGCTGGAACACCTCATGTGTACATATACTCACCAGCGTTTCCTACAGGATGACCTTAGCAACCTGGCATTTTTCCCATTGAAAGTGAAGAGTTACTGCTTCATTTGGAAATTTTCCGAATATTTCTTGATAATTCAGTGCAAGCGAAATCACTAGCAATTAAGTTGTAACATTACGGCCAAAGTTCAGGTTATTTTTTCGCCATGAGGCCAGGCACCAAAAAAATTATCTTTCAAAAATTTTGCTGCTGTTCGGGGTTGCACTGACGGCTCATTGATCAGATGTCTTCTGTGGCTCTACCAAACAGGAGCCATTTTAATTTGAAAGGCAAACGACTAAACAGGGTAGGAGGGTAAGGAAAAAACTAAAAGAAAGAAAAGATAGCCCTTCCCTCAATGCATTTTATTTTCTCGTGGTTTATAATTCCCAGAAAGATTGTAAATGGGTTTTAGAGACTCAAGGTCTGAGGTCCAAAGTGGCCACGTTCTTGCCGACTTTCACCGAAATTATTTAGAGGGTGTACTTTCCGCAAACCGTCATATTTTATTCCTTCAACAACAGCAACAACAAAACAAATTTCGAAACCACCTGAGGAAAATACAAGTGACTCATAACTAGAATTTATCGAAACATCTGTATTCAAAAACGAATTATCAGAGAGGCCAAATCGGAACAGATGATCTGTCACTGTTATACATCAAGCCACTGTTAAAAATCAACTCATGCAGAGGTGGGGACGGGAAACCTTTTTTCCTGCTTATAAAGGTGAATTATCGCGAACCAGAAACCAGCCCTTCGTTCAGAGTTTCTACGCTTGCTAGTTATCCAGCAGGTTTTAGAGCCACAAATTCTTGATGATTTTTGACTGGCGGGGGAATGGCACACAGTAGCTCACAGTAGCAACTTGGGATCATCGAGCTTCATACGAGCGCAAAAAAAGCGCAGTAATAGGCCACGTTCGATAAATCAATATTCTAACATGGCTCAGAGGCTTTCAGGACAATATTCTCTATTTGGTGGTTATTTCCTTTGTATCCAAGTCTCTTGCAATTTTGTCCTGAAAGCCTCGGAGCCATGCTAGAATATTGAGATATCGAACGTGGCCTATTGCAGTTTTCACAGCTACAATTTCTACCAGACCCTACCATCTTGAGTCTTCGGCGTTTTGCTCAATGTGATAAGACAAGAGCAAAGTGGAGTCAACAGTTCTTTCGTATTTATTTAAACTCGGCAATTACATTCCAGTATTGTAAAAAGAGAACTAGCCATTTATGAACTAAAATATAAAATAAGATTAACTACCGAGTAATTATGCGACTGTAAAATTCGAGTACGAAGATGCAGTATTAAATGATGCATGTTGTTTGAAATTGTCTCTAATGATAACTATTCACCGGAATGACAGTCGGGCTATTCATCATAAACAGCGACAATTTTGCCCAAACGAAAGAGAGAGAAAAGATACTTACATTACATTCTAAAAAACAAACTTCAGCCTGCGACATAAGAGCCGATGAATGGGTAAACTTATTCACTTCCACAGCACTAAAACTATTTTAAGGATTTTTTTTTTAATCTCGAATTTCCAGCCGTTTACACAAATTTTGCTTTTAAAAGTGAACTAGCCTTTTTAAGTCGCAGGCATGAAGATTGCGTGACCACCTAACTGTTAGCCTCTTTTGTCACCGTCATTTGAGTAGTCACACAATGCTCATAGAGAAACAGAGATTTCCTGTTACACAACGAATCGACAACGGAATTTTCTAGCTAAGAACGTTAAGTGCAGGTGTTCAAGCTTTGTTTCTTGAGAAGGTTCCTGTGCGTAAAAGAGAAAGGTCATTCCAGAGGTTGTCCTTCAGTAAAATCTGCAAAAAGAACAAAAACCAGCGTGAGGGGAAAGCTTTTCTACATCACAAAACAAGTGAAAACAACTGGGGAGAATTTTGTAGCTTTAGGTCGTTAATTGAAGAGGGTAGAATTTAAATGATCTGCAAGCACTCTTATTAAGTATATAGGTGTGGTCTCTTCCAGGCGTCTGGTTAGATGAAGAGCAACGCAACGAGATCAGAACAAAGAACGAAGAATGGGCAAAGACCCCCACCCCCATCCCACCCCCCTTTTTTCACTCGCATTTCATCATCACGCCACCCTCAACTAGTCGATCAACTAACCAGTCTAAATGTATGAAGTTCGTTGTTTGTAATCCATGTTAATTTTCTCCATCCTTAACCATCCTTGTTCCTTTATGGTTTATTATTATCCCCTTGGTGTGTTTCTGTCTTAGTAAACTACTATTTTCAGATATCCTTCAATTGAAAGGTCATTTTGTACATGGCCAAAATTACTCAAAATGCTGTGACTAAGCCCCTTAAATACTAAATATGAAGAAAAAGGACCTATTTCGATACATTAAAATTCAGCCAATAAACCTCAGTACAAGGCTCTGGGGAATAACCACAGAGTTTGTGGGGTTTATTCCCCAGAGCCTCGTGCTGAGGTCTACTGTGTTCGGCTGAATTTTAATATATCAAAATTGGTCTGTTAATTGAGAATTGGCAAAACAAATCAACTGATCTTACCTCAGTCCACCATCTCCATATTGTTGTTGTCCATTTGGCTCTCGTTGTCGTACTGTGGGTATTCACCATTTGGCTCTTCCTTGATTCTTTCTCCTTCACGATCACGGTCACGATCGCGATCACGCTCTTTGTCACGCTCCCTTTCTCGGTCACGTTCCCCGCGATCACCACGATCTTTGTCACGGTCACGGTCACGATCACGCCGCCTCTCCCTATCCCTGGTGACGAAAAAGGATGTCACACAATCGTGTGTAAAACACTCATCAAAGACCCAAGGGCCAAGGCTTATTATAGATCGTTTTCACCCGACGTCATCAAGTTCTTAAATCCAAAACTAAAGAGCCACCAAAGTTTTTATCCTCATCAGGCATAAGATGTGCTACTGTTACATCTGTTCACAACTTTTCAGCTCAGTAGCGTGCTTCGTTTGGAAACCAGACCATTTCGAATTTCGGAGTTATGACGGTGCGTGACAGCTATGATCGCGTTTGTCGAAAAATAGATACTTATCTCGCGATGTTTAGCCTTTTCAGAAGTTAGAGCATTAGGAAAACTGTTCATTTACAGGTTTGTTCAGTACAGGTAATCAGTCGCCAAGATAGCCAAAGTAAGTTCCAACATGGCGGCTCCTCACTGGGCTCTGTAAATTTGTGGAAAACGTTTCAACGAATATCTGAAGTTTGGGAAAAAGCACAGACCTAAAACTTGGAGAAGTGTCTTCTTTACATATCTTCTATAACATCACGATTTCGTGACTTTATCCACTGATTGGTTTTCGATTTATCAACTTTTTTGATTGCGTGGCAGTGAAAACGATCTGTTCTTATCACAAAGATTGCATCAGAAGAATACCATTTTCTCACCTGTCACGGTCGCGATCACGATCACGGTCTTTTTCGCGTGATCTACTTCTGTGTTTCCGACGTTCCTTTTCGCGGTCACGGTCGCGGTCACGATCTCTGTCACGTTCCCTGTAACGTTCACGATCTTTATCACGGTCACGTTCCCTGTAACGCTCACGCTCGCGGTCTCGGTCACGATCTCCTCTGTCCCCCCTATCTCTTTCGCGATCCCTGCCAAGTGAAAGAATAGATGANTTGTCTTCTCTATAAAGGATAAACAAATGTACATTATGATCACAAAAACAGCGAAAAAAGAAAATGGATCTTTGTCATTCCTGGAGGCAATGACTGCACTAATCAAGACAGAACTACACTTGATGAGAGCATGTCTGATTAAAAGTCATTTTCAATAAAAAATGAGACAAATATTTATTATGCAAATAAAACCTCATGTAGATTCAATCTCAAAGACACCAGTTCATGTCAATTCTTCTCTGCTACTGTATTTCTGAAAAGGTGGGTTGATATGTGTGCTTAGATTTGTGTGAGAATTTAAGGTGAAAATGCTATTTTTGAATTATTTAGACATGCAATACTTCATAGAAATTCTGCAAACTTGTGAGACAACATAATAAGAACATTTTAACGATCATTAATTGCAATTCTTTCAAACTTTTCTCCTGAACAAATTATATTCAGAAAAGTGTCTAGAAGCCCCCTTTATTCGCTCACAAAATTTCATATTCGGTCTAGCAATTCTGAGCAAAAATTATTTGATTTGGATAACATAGTTGGATGTCCATTTTTAGGCCAATTTTTCAAAACAGCAGAGTTTTCCTTTGTGTAGGAGAAAGTAAAAATACTGGATGAGAATAACTATTTATCAGATCTTTTGATTGTGACTCACGGTCTTAGCTGGGGAAAACTCCAATAAACAAAAGCCATTGCCACAAGAGAGCCTAAAAATATTAGTCCCAGGAAGATAAAAGGTCCTGTGTTGCTTTCCACCTTTTGCGATGTTTCCCTTGAATCTGAAAAAAAGAAAGAAAGAAAGAGTCACAGCATGGTGAACAAGTTTAAGTTTAAAGATGTTTTGAGAAGCGTACAAAAAAATGCCAAAAGCTTACCACCCATGTGTACAAATGGGTACCAGCGAATTTAATACTGGAGGGTAACCCTCCGAAGGACTAGCATCCAATCCAGGGGGGAGTAGAAATATATTTTTTAATTTATTCCTAGTTGCTTCATGCTACAGTTACCAGCCTGATGGGCACCTTGGCTTGTACGCAGACTTTACCAAGTTTACCACTGTTTGATCAAAGCTTAGTGTGCTTTGGTAGGACAGAGGAAAATTTGAATTCATGAGCACATGTATTATTTTGTAGTTTCTCCTTCCTTCATGTGAAACACTGTGAACTTTGACAAACTTGAATAGCAAATTACAGTTAAACCCCACTATTTCAAACTCTCATGGGAAATGTAATATGTTTCAATAAAGTGGGGTTTCAAAATAGCGGATAATAAATGATTGAAGGATAAATCCAAGGGATCAAACTAACAGGGAATCTGAAATAACCGAGTTCAAATTAGAAGGGTCTAACTGTACCAAAATGCATAATACCATGCATTGTTGTGTACTCTTAGACAACCTTTCTCAAACACAGCCATAAACGTAATGACTGTACCTTTCACATCTGTCATTTATTTATAATAATTTATATAATTATTATTGAAAGAGGTGAAATTATTACATCAGCATCTAACAATTCTTGAAAAATGAAACAAATGAAATGGATCAAAATCTACCAATCACAACCCACAAACATGACCTTTTAAGCTCTTGAAGAGAACATCTGTTACTTGAGAGGTCTGCCAAGATGATTGACAGGTCCAGAAACACAACCAGAGTATGTAATTTTGCCAATCCAGTACAGTAGAACCAGTCTTAAATATGAACCAAAGGGGCAGACCCAAGTGCCCGTGTTATGGAGGTGTCCGTAATCTAGAGGACTTGGGCTTATATAAATTCTGGTCTCTCTGAGACCAAGTGAACTGTCCGCAATACAGAGGTCTGACCTATACTACAGAGGTGGCCGTAAGGGGAGGTTTGACTGTATATTACCCTAAGTGTTGGACCAGATCCAGTTTCCAAAGCTCCATTTCAGTCCCGTAAAATTGTGTAATAAATCTCTTATTACCCGTGATTGTTGTATTGGGAAAATACCGGCTCTCAGTCTATTCTCTACAGACATAAGCATGCTCCATGCATTTTGCTAAATTATATTACATGATATAAGTACAAATTATATACCTTAGAAATAAATGCTATATGCAGGACTAAATTTTCTTTATACCTAAATTACAAAATCAACAAAGTGCCAAGCAAACAGGTGGCAAGAAAGGCAAAAACAATTTTCAAGTGAGCCTCTTGATGTAGGAAAACTTACGCTTAAAATTAATGTTCTGACTATCACTAGCAAAAGGAAAATTTAAGTTTAATTAGCTGTATATGCGAAGAAAATTGCAGGGTTTTTTTTTACTACAAAGGTTAAGCTTACTATTAGCAGCGAGAACTAAATAAAACTGATGAATCTGCAGTGCTATCCACTCGACGATTTCAAATGAACTTTGCTATGAAACACAATTTATTGCAATAAGCAAAAATGGTCTTCACATGGTTAATCGATTTGCTCATATTTTTGACAACACATCGAATATTCCCCATCAGGACCTGTGATTATGGCCAAAAAGCCTCTAAAGACAACAAGCGAAAAAACATTGAACTTGAACTCGGGTACGAAACTTATGACTTACTTTTGAATGATGGTTCGGCGTGTGTCTTAGATGCCATATTGTTGACGTGGTTTGGATAGGTTTGCGGCAAAGGTTCTCGTCCTTTGATTTTCAGCAGTTCGTTGGGAAGGTCTTTAATTGTCATCCTACCAGAATATTGCAAACGTTTGCACAAAACACAATAATTAGGGCAAAAGTCCAGCTGGAACACCTCATGTGTACATATACTCACCAGCGTTTCCTACAGGATGACCTTAGCAACCTGGCATTTTTCCCATTGAAAGTGAAGAGTTACTGCTTCATTTGGAAATTTTCCGAATATTTCTTGATAATTCAGTGCAAGCGAAATCACTAGCAATTAAGTTGTAACATTACGGCCAAAGTTCAGGTTATTTTTTCGCCATGAGGCCAGGCACCAAAAAAATTATCTTTCAAAAATTTTGCTGCTGTTCGGGGTTGCACTGACGGCTCATTGATCAGATGTCTTCTGTGGCTCTACCAAACAGGAGCCATTTTAATTTGAAAGGCAAACGACTAAACAGGGTAGGAGGGTAAGGAAAAAACTAAAAGAAAGAAAAGATAGCCCTTCCCTCAATGCATTTTATTTTCTCGTGGTTTATAATTCCCAGAAAGATTGTAAATGGGTTTTAGAGACTCAAGGTCTGAGGTCCAAAGTGGCCACGTTCTTGCCGACTTTCACCGAAATTATTTAGAGGGTGTACTTTCCGCAAACCGTCATATTTTATTCCTTCAACAACAGCAACAACAAAACAAATTTCGAAACCACCTGAGGAAAATACAAGTGACTCATAACTAGAATTTATCGAAACATCTGTATTCAAAAACGAATTATCAGAGAGGCCAAATCGGAACAGATGATCTGTCACTGTTATACATCAAGCCACTGTTAAAAATCAACTCATGCAGAGGTGGGGACGGGAAACCTTTTTTCCTGCTTATAAAGGTGAATTATCGCGAACCAGAAACCAGCCCTTCGTTCAGAGTTTCTACGCTTGCTAGTTATCCAGCAGGTTTTAGAGCCACAAATTCTTGATGATTTTTGACTGGCGGGGGAATGGCACACAGTAGCTCACAGTAGCAACTTGGGATCATCGAGCTTCATACGAGCGCAAAAAAAGCGCAGTAATAGGCCACGTTCGATAAATCAATATTCTAACATGGCTCAGAGGCTTTCAGGACAATATTCTCTATTTGGTGGTTATTTCCTTTGTATCCAAGTCTCTTGCAATTTTGTCCTGAAAGCCTCGGAGCCATGCTAGAATATTGAGATATCGAACGTGGCCTATTGCAGTTTTCACAGCTACAATTTCTACCAGACCCTACCATCTTGAGTCTTCGGCGTTTTGCTCAATGTGATAAGACAAGAGCAAAGTGGAGTCAACAGTTCTTTCGTATTTATTTAAACTCGGCAATTACATTCCAGTATTGTAAAAAGAGAACTAGCCATTTATGAACTAAAATATAAAATAAGATTAACTACCGAGTAATTATGCGACTGTAAAATTCGAGTACGAAGATGCAGTATTAAATGATGCATGTTGTTTGAAATTGTCTCTAATGATAACTATTCACCGGAATGACAGTCGGGCTATTCATCATAAACAGCGACAATTTTGCCCAAACGAAAGAGAGAGAAAAGATACTTACATTACATTCTAAAAAACAAACTTCAGCCTGCGACATAAGAGCCGATGAATGGGTAAACTTATTCACTTCCACAGCACTAAAACTATTTTAAGGATTTTTTTTTTAATCTCGAATTTCCAGCCGTTTACACAAATTTTGCTTTTAAAAGTGAACTAGCCTTTTTAAGTCGCAGGCATGAAGATTGCGTGACCACCTAACTGTTAGCCTCTTTTGTCACCGTCATTTGAGTAGTCACACAATGCTCATAGAGAAACAGAGATTTCCTGTTACACAACGAATCGACAACGGAATTTTCTAGCTAAGAACGTTAAGTGCAGGTGTTCAAGCTTTGTTTCTTGAGAAGGTTCCTGTGCGTAAAAGAGAAAGGTCATTCCAGAGGTTGTCCTTCAGTAAAATCTGCAAAAAGAACAAAAACCAGCGTGAGGGGAAAGCTTTTCTACATCACAAAACAAGTGAAAACAACTGGGGAGAATTTTGTAGCTTTAGGTCGTTAATTGAAGAGGGTAGAATTTAAATGATCTGCAAGCACTCTTATTAAGTATATAGGTGTGGTCTCTTCCAGGCGTCTGGTTAGATGAAGAGCAACGCAACGAGATCAGAACAAAGAACGAAGAATGGGCAAAGACCCCCACCCCCATCCCACCCCCCTTTTTTCACTCGCATTTCATCATCACGCCACCCTCAACTAGTCGATCAACTAACCAGTCTAAATGTATGAAGTTCGTTGTTTGTAATCCATGTTAATTTTCTCCATCCTTAACCATCCTTGTTCCTTTATGGTTTATTATTATCCCCTTGGTGTGTTTCTGTCTTAGTAAACTACTATTTTCAGATATCCTTCAATTGAAAGGTCATTTTGTACATGGCCAAAATTACTCAAAATGCTGTGACTAAGCCCCTTAAATACTAAATATGAAGAAAAAGGACCTATTTCGATACATTAAAATTCAGCCAATAAACCTCAGTACAAGGCTCTGGGGAATAACCACAGAGTTTGTGGGGTTTATTCCCCAGAGCCTCGTGCTGAGGTCTACTGTGTTCGGCTGAATTTTAATATATCAAAATTGGTCTGTTAATTGAGAATTGGCAAAACAAATCAACTGATCTTACCTCAGTCCACCATCTCCATATTGTTGTTGTCCATTTGGCTCTCGTTGTCGTACTGTGGGTATTCACCATTTGGCTCTTCCTTGATTCTTTCTCCTTCACGATCACGGTCACGATCGCGATCACGCTCTTTGTCACGCTCCCTTTCTCGGTCACGTTCCCCGCGATCACCACGATCTTTGTCACGGTCACGGTCACGATCACGCCGCCTCTCCCTATCCCTGGTGACGAAAAAGGATGTCACACAATCGTGTGTAAAACACTCATCAAAGACCCAAGGGCCAAGGCTTATTATAGATCGTTTTCACCCGACGTCATCAAGTTCTTAAATCCAAAACTAAAGAGCCACCAAAGTTTTTATCCTCATCAGGCATAAGATGTGCTACTGTTACATCTGTTCACAACTTTTCAGCTCAGTAGCGTGCTTCGTTTGGAAACCAGACCATTTCGAATTTCGGAGTTATGACGGTGCGTGACAGCTATGATCGCGTTTGTCGAAAAATAGATACTTATCTCGCGATGTTTAGCCTTTTCAGAAGTTAGAGCATTAGGAAAACTGTTCATTTACAGGTTTGTTCAGTACAGGTAATCAGTCGCCAAGATAGCCAAAGTAAGTTCCAACATGGCGGCTCCTCACTGGGCTCTGTAAATTTGTGGAAAACGTTTCAACGAATATCTGAAGTTTGGGAAAAAGCACAGACCTAAAACTTGGAGAAGTGTCTTCTTTACATATCTTCTATAACATCACGATTTCGTGACTTTATCCACTGATTGGTTTTCGATTTATCAACTTTTTTGATTGCGTGGCAGTGAAAACGATCTGTTCTTATCACAAAGATTGCATCAGAAGAATACCATTTTCTCACCTGTCACGGTCGCGATCACGATCACGGTCTTTTTCGCGTGATCTACTTCTGTGTTTCCGACGTTCCTTTTCGCGGTCACGGTCGCGGTCACGATCTCTGTCACGTTCCCTGTAACGTTCACGATCTTTATCACGGTCACGTTCCCTGTAACGCTCACGCTCGCGGTCTCGGTCACGATCTCCTCTGTCCCCCCTATCTCTTTCGCGATCCCTGCCAAGTGAAAGAATAGATGA